AGCATGTACTCGAGCAATCATTCCTAATATTTTAGAACACCCAACAGGAAAGCTTCAAAGCGTGTAAAGACAGCTAACCCTGCAAACTCGAATTCCTGGGCATCAATACCTGAAATCTGTTTGAGGTTGTACTATACCCATAGGCCCCTATGTAGTTCCTTCTTGGGAGTACCTTATAGGGATTCTAAACATAAACCATAAAAAGGAACTACTTAGGGGCCTCTGGGTAACTTCCTTTTCGAGCGACGGACCTTTGGGAATGCAAGGAGGATCCGGGCTGATCGAAAACTTACCCGACACCCAAAATCCCTTAAGCCGGAATCCCAAACCCCGAAGCTTTTAACTCTAAGCCCCGAACCCTAAATTTACAACACGCAGCCTAAACCGTACACTTTGACAGTTGAAACCCTTGCCTAATCTCACGGCCCCCCTAAACCCTAAACCTTAAAAGTTGAACAGAACAACAACAACGCCTTACACCCTAAACCCTAACCCCAAACACCCATCCACCCCGGCACCCGCCCAGGTCCCCGAAGAGCAGAGTCGCGCAGGGACGAGGCTCCAGCGATGAAGCCAACGGGTCTCCCGGGGTACGAAGCTACTGTAAGCGTCTTAAAAATTAATTAGAATAGGGTTTAGGGGCTTAGAGATTAAGTGTAATCGCTTTAATAATACTATAGTACTATAGGGGTCTTAATAATTAGTTAGAATAGGGTTTAGGGGTTTAGGGTGTAAATATAATCGCTTTAATAATGCTGTAGTACTATAGGGGTCTTAACAATTAATCAGACTAGGTTTAGGAGTTTAGGGTTTAGGGTTTAATGTAGCGGCCTTAATATTTAGAATTGGGTTTGAGGGTCCTGTATAGCATGTCTATAGTAAGGAACCCTAAGGCCCCAAGGAATAATGTAGGCAATGGTTACTGCCCCTATATTACTTGTTCGGGCTTGATGGGGCTAGGGTTTAGGGGTATGTAGGTTAGTGTTTATTTGGTTGGGGTTCAGGGGTTTAAAGCTTCAGGGGCTTAGTTGCTCTTCAAACCCTAAATTTCGAAAGGACCCCATAATTAGGTACTTAGGTTTCGGATACTATTTAGTTATGATAGTGTAGGTTACTATTTGGGAGAGTATATGATTATTAGCTTCTTGGACCCTTTGGGAAAGGGTTTCATCGGGTGTTGGTAGGGTTGTGCAGGCTTTGCGTGAGGGATGTGTGATATAGTTTCTGATGGCCTGGGATTTCGGCTAAGGTGTTATCCCGTCGTTGCATCTTCAACTTGTTGGCAGTAGAATTTTAGTAAGGGCCTTAGGTCCCGGATCCCCGAATATTATATAATAACGGCTGTAAAACCCTTCAATAAACGTCACCAACCACCCCCCCCCCCATAAACAAAGACCCACTGCAACTATAGAAACGTATTCGAAATAGCGAGGCTTCTACACCAAACTTTACGGTAACCCTGAGTTATCGAAGACAATGTAGTAACCCTTACAGGGAGCTCTTGCTGTCCCCACAACCCTAAATCCATTATAGCACTCTTAAAGGAGCTTTTTCTAGTTAGTAAGACCCCTATCTTAATCGCAGACCCTAAACCCCAAAAAGTATATTAAACCCTAAACCCAGAAACCTATGGTCAACTCTAAGCCCCAAATCCCACATTCAACCCTTGACCTCAAACCCTGTATTCAACCCTGATCCCTAAACCCTGCATTCAACCCTGAACCCTACAGCCTGTATTCAACCCTAAAGCCCTGGACCCTAAAACCTTAAGGCCTCGAACCTAGAAGCCTGTAAGTCCTAAACCCTAAACGCTCTATTCAATCCTAAAGCCTTAAACTCTAAACATCACCCTATAAACCCTGAACCCTAAAGTTTGCTGCATTGCATTCAACCCTACCTCGACCCCAGACGCATGTAGAATAATGGCCTTTGGCCTTTTGTAGGGGTTGGGACAATATCTTACCAACTTTGGGGGCTTAAAGTTTAAACCCTAAACCCTATATTAACCCTGAACCCTATGTTAACCCTAAGCCCTATATTACCCTAAACCTAAATTTACCCCAACGCCGAAACCCTATATTAACCCTAAACCCTATAGTCACCCTAAACCCTATGTTAACCTTAAACCCTATATTATCCCAAAGCCCTATATTAGCCCTAACCCCTATCTTAACCCTACACTCTATTATTCAACCCTGAGATTGACCAGGGGCCGGCGAGACTCCTTCCGGGCGCTGTCGGCGCAGGCGGCGCATCACGGCGACCATCAAAAGCCAAAGCCTCAGTCGTGCTGCAAGGATTGGTGTTGTGTGTATATACATATATATATATATATGCACACACATGACGATAACAATGTAAGCATAGATAGATAGATAGATAGATAGATAGGTAGATAGATAGGTAGATAGATGGATAGATAGATAGATAGATAGGTAGATACATATAGACAGACAGCTAGATAGCTAGATAGCTAGATAGCTAGCTATATATATATATACACATATACATACATATATATATATACATACATATGTGTGTGTGTGGTGTATTTCTGCATGTGTGTTTGCGTATTTCATTTTGGTACGGTTTCTAAGTTCATAGCGGTTTTTGGAAGGGCATTTGTGGCTTTCCGTACGACGATTCCCGTGTTTGTCCTGCAGATTTCGTGAGGATGACTTAGTGAATGTACCCGGCTTTTGGGGGGCGATTATCATGGGATTTAAGTCGGTTCCTAGACACGAACATGGCAACAAGTGGGGGTTTTCTGTTATGTATTGGGGTTGACTTGGAAGGCTTATACACGACAAGGCTTATGTACATATACCCAAAAGCATGTAATTCAAGCCTGTCAGGTGACTTTTGAAATATTCACATACATCTCTTCTGCTTTATGTGGCCCTTGTTCTCATCTTCCGAAGCGTCGTTTACCTTTCACGGATTTTCAATATCATGGTCTACACTATCATCAGCTAGTGCATTCTTCGAGATGTTTGGGCGGGAAGGTGCTGGGGTGGCAGGCTTGCCAGAGCCTCCAAAACCCCTTCATCCACATGCTGTATACATCTTAGGCGTATCCTCATCAAGTGTTGTATCCCACGCCACATGAACCGTACCCGCCACTGAGATGACATGAATCAAGGTTTTTTTCAAGATCTCGCTGGCTGCATGACTTACACTTAGTACTTAGTAAAGTAGGTAACCTTCAACCTATCTTGGGTACTACCATCCCTACAAAATCCGAATACATATAGTACCTATATAGCCCCAAAGATTAACCTTCAGCATCCCAAGGATACTGGACAGGCACGCACATGGCTCCGGAGGAATGTAGGAACCTTCAACCGCAAACCCTGAACCCAGGGGCATGAGGATCTTCTGTGTTGCTTCGTGGCACCTGTAAAAACATTGGCACCTTGAACACTGATCCCTAAAACCTCAACCCTAAACCTTAATAATATAGGGGCCTTATTAACTCGAATCGGGTTTTGGGGGGTTCCTTATTCTAATTATAGTATAATAGAACCCCAAACCCTATTCTAATTTCTTTAAATCAGCACAGAACCTTAGACTTCACCAGCTAAAGCCCTAAAGCCGAAACCTTCATTTCAAAGTGGTCCGCAATCCAATCTCAACAGCCTCCAAAGCTAAGCTCTCTAGTATTTAGGGTTTACCAATGTAGGGATTACCAATTCTCGGTTTACCATGTGGGGACTTGCAAACCACTGAACCCTATACACCCTAAACCCCTAAACCCCTAAACCCCTAAAACCCTAAACCCGAAACCCTAAACCCCAAACCCTAAACCCCTAAAAAAAGGGCCTTCAAGCCCCCAAGCGTCGACCTGAGGTCCACTGATCGCAGCCACCACGGCAGCCCCCCGCTTCCGGTGTGCTTAGTGCTGTATGCCTGGGCCCTCGGCATTTTTTCGGGTTTTAGGGTTTTTATAGGGTTCCGGTTTCGGCAGGGTTTCGGGTTTTACGATTTACGGTTTAGGGTTCCGGTTTAAGGTTTGGGGTTTGGTGTCTGGAAGTTTCAGAAAAATACGGGACACCCTAAACTGCTAGGATCCCGATAGCAGGATCAGGGCACCAAAACAATGCACTTACTTCTCTTTTCCGAAACCCTTCTTCCCCCTAAGCCTCTGAGCAAGCTGCGGATATGTCATCAAATCGGTTCGGCGTCCTCGATGAAGAAATGGGTCACGGTAGGCAAAGAGGAGTTCACTCCTTTTGAAGCTTTCACAGTTGGGATCTAAGTCGACAGCTCTTTGGATGTCAAGTAGAAGCTGAATGCCGTCGGAGTGTGAAGTTCGTTAGAGTCGATGGCATATAAACACAAGAGGTTTGATATATGTATGTGTGTGTATGTACATTTTGAGAGAGGTATACTTATGCATACATGGAGTTCAGTCTTGAGAATTGGTAGACAGGCCGCCACGCCACAAGATTGCACAGCCTCTCGCAGCTTGTGCCACGTTCTAAATACTGAGCCTTCAACGTGCGATGATTCCACCATAGCCGAACAATCAATATGTGCTTGGGGAGCTGTAGCAACAGACGAGAGTGGAAGAACTTAATTGACTAGAGTGCGAATAGAAACGTAATCAGCAAAACTGCACCCCTAGACACCATTGTAGCGAATAGTCCCCAGATCATTTTCCTGCCGCCAGCGCATACAATGTTCGGGTTCGGGACCTGCTATCGTGTATCTGGCAGGCCTTTTTGGCATGTCGAGGGTGTTACCCCTAAACCTTGCGAGATTCAGGTATAATTGGTTGTCAATCCAATGTTGGTAACACCTTTAATTAATGCCTAGGATGCAACGTGGCTTGGAGCATCAGGGGTTAGAGTGCGCCTTGCTCTGGGAATGTGTACGTTCGGCATTGTCGCTCGTCTAGAAGCTTCTGGGGCTCATCTAGCCGCCATTGGCTATCGACTGTAGTTGCAGCTCTCGTTTTCCTTGCCCTGCTGGTACCCGGTTACATGGCTACAGCAAAGATGGCCGACGTGGTTAGGGCTCTGATCAGGGTGGGTGACTTGGAAGGCTTGCAGCGGGTGACACCAGACGGCTACGACTGGTCCGTGCCCGATAGCAAAGCCAGGTTCCTGGGTGGGTTTGGATTATAGCTTTAAGTTGCAAATTCATGGGTGTGTGGTAAGTTCGCTCGTCTTCTGTGAAATTTGGTTGCCCCTTCGTTTCTGGAACGAGTGCAGAAAAACCTTGAACCCTCGAACCTATCTGAGGCCGCCTTTGATAGAAGTCATGCTTGGTCCTTATGCCCAGTGGGAGACCCGGGCCAAGATGCTGGACTGGATGATCAAAGCAGGAGCAGACCCGCTTAAAGCGGTTCCGGCCGACGAGGCAAGCAGTTGTGCCATCGATGTAGGCCGAGGGCACGAGAAAATCAAGATTCCGTACAAGGGGAACTGCGCAACTACATTCGCATGTGAGGCAGTGCGGGCTTTGCAAGAATCAGAACATGTTGCAGCCTCGGATGTGAAATTGAAGGCATTCAAAGGCTACTTGGACGTACTTACCAGAGCCACTCCTATGCTTGGGCAGAGCAACGTTGCGATTCCGCAAAGTGTCGTCGACATGTGGGAGTCAATACGGCAGATGACACCTACACACAACGTGGTTTTTGAAACAGCAGATGGCGAAGTGTCGGCTCACGACCTCATTCTTGTTACAGCCTCACCTGTTTTGAAGGCCATGCTGGAGTCCACCATGAGGGAAGGCTCAAGCAAGCGCATAACTGTCAAGGACTCTTCAGGTTCTGGAGTGCGGCTGCTAGTGGACATGCTCTACACAAGCTCCACGCGTGATGAGCCTGACTACAAGACAGTGCTGGTTGCCCTGGACTTGGCACACCGCTGGCAAGTAAACGGCATGGTGCCGGTGCTTGAAGGCATCTTGCCGGCGATGGTTACTGTCGAGAGTCTTGTTGCCATCGCTGAGGCTGCAATGCTCAAGGGCTTGCAGAAACTGCAGCAGGCATGCAAGACCTTCGCCGCCAACAACAGCCAAGTGAAGACCATGCTTGACAGGGGCCCAATTCCTGTAGAGGTGCGCCAGCTGCTGGGAGAGCCGGCGGACCCGTCACCCGAGGGAGGACGGCAGAAGAAGCGCCGGACCTTCACTGCACCTTGACTGCTTGCACCTACCCGTCCAGGAGTTGATACCAAGCGCGAGACATCTTTAAGCACAATGTGCCCAGAAACCCTAGCCTATAATCGGAAGCCTTAGTTTCAACCCGGTGGTAAAGTTTCAGATTACGGATTTGCTAGATCGTGAAAGCATGTGTTGGCACACAGTTGCCTGATTGCTTGGCAACGAGACAGAAGTGTCGTGAGCGCCGCGGTCAAATGCTGCAGTCAGGTCTGCCCTTCTTATGCCGACAGACTTTTTAGGAGTATACAGCCGCAGTCACTCAGAAATAAGACAAGATTCAAGTTCAAACGGTAAGCCACCCTATATAGCCTATAGCGCTCTAGTAAACGTTGACCACGGCCCAAAGCCCCCAGTCATTGCAACCCTGAGCCCTACTATAAGACTCCAATGCCCCCAGTTACGGTCAACGGCTGCCACAAGAAATCCAGTAGTCTACATCTCAGCCCACGCGCTTAGCCAGGAGAGCCGGTTTTTCATCTGTGATAAACTCTACCTGAGACTCACATTACCTACAGTTTTACGAGTTCTACCTATTAATTAAGGGGTGATGGCTGCTCAACTGTAGGCAAAGAGAGTTGAAGGTAAGCTCTAAACCCTAAACCCCTAAACCCCTAAAGCCCTAAAGCCCTAAACCCCCTGAAGCCCTAAAGCCCTAANNAAACCCCTAAAGCCCTCACCCCTAAAGCTTAAAGAGTCGTCCTTTGGCAGCGTAGGGAACTGCAGAATGCGAAAGGATCCGGCTCCAGGGCCCGGCCCTATACCCAGAGAGCCCGGTACCCCTTAAGTAAGGAAGATATGCTTGAAATCATAATATTCAGCCCTTAGAATTTCAGGTATATTCCTGAAATTATAAGGGCTTAATATAGTGATGTAAGGTGTATTCCCTAATTAAGAGGTATTGGGCTCTCTGGGCATGAAGCCTCATTTCGACCACGGGCCCTCTAAGCAGATTCTTGAGAACGAAGCGAATGTAGGGGCCTTAATAACTTCATAGACTTATCAATATTGTCATTATTGTTGCTATTAGTACTATTGTTATTGATTTGTTCTTTTTCTTTTTTTTTT